GGTACTGGGAATCAAACTCAGGACCTTCCACTTGCAAGGCAGGTGTCAGAACCACTGAGCTAAATCCCTGGCTCTAAGTAGATGTCTTTTAATAATGGGGTTGAGTTCAACACCTACCACCCTGTTTTTTTTTTTGTTGGTGGTGTGTGTTTTTTTTTTTTTTGAGACAGGGTCTCACCATGTAGTTGAGACTGACCTGGAATTCACTATGTAGCCCAGGCTGGTCTTGAACTCACAGTGATCCTCCTGCCTCAACCTCCTGAGTGCTGGGATTACAGGCGTGCGCCACCACACCTGGCTGTTGTTGTTTTGAGAGAGGGTCTCACTATATAGCTCAGGCTGGCCTTAAACTCACTGTGTAGGCCAGGCTGGCCTTGAACTTGTGGCAATTCTCCTGCTTCAGCCTCCTGAGTGCTGGGATGTGTGCAACCATGCCTAGCTCACTTTAATTTTTTTATCGTTTTTGGTACTGGAGATTGAACCCAGGGCCTTTGCACTGTTACATCCTCAGTTCCCCCACTTTCATTTTGAGACAGGGTTTCACTAACTTGCTCAGTTTTCCAGGAGAGTCTTGAATTTGCAGTCATCTTGCTCAGCCTCCTAGAGTCCTGGGAATGCACTACAGCTACCTTACTTATATATTCCTCATACTTTGTCTTTAGAAGACCTCTTTTTTTTTTTTCTACGAAGTGGTTAGTAGGTGGAATTTATCATATTTTTGGAGATCCAAGAATTCTCTAGGCAACGTTAACCCTTAGAGCATTTTGGAATACAGGGAGGGTTGTGTTTGTTTCTCCTCAAGTCTTTATGTTTTTAGGCCTCACTGTTATTAGATCTCATTTCTGTAGGGAGAGCAGAGAAACTTTTCATCAGCTCCCTCTGGCAGCATCCTGGGACATTCTCCGTAAACAATTAATTTGGATAATTAATGTACTGAGAAAAAATATCCAGAGACTTTTCTGGCAGGTGCTGTCTTTGATGGTAGAAATAACATAATAATCACCGCTCTAGAGAGAGATGAAGTCAAGGAAACAAAACCTATCACTTTTCTCTTCCATGATAAGCTTGGTAAACATCAGGTACAAGTTCCTGGGACATAGGTGAGTGGAGATGCATTTCAGACTTAGAAATTGTTTGGGAAAGAGAAGAGTGAGTATTCAGAGATGGAAATCTTCACTATGGGTATCCAGCCTTTTGTCCATCTGGGCCACACTGGGGGTAGAGGAATTATCTTGGTCTTCACACAAAATATACAATGCAATGTGTATAAATAGTAAAACTTTCTTTTTTATACTTTTATTATAACAAAAAAGAGAGGGCAACATAAGCTAACTGTGTGTGGCCGACACAGGAGGTGGGGTTAGCAATGCCCCATGCCTCTCCTACGCAGCTGGAGCACCGTGATTGAGTCATGAAAACCATAAAATAATGTTAACATTATTCGTGATCTTGTGGGATCACATTACTAGCTGGCCAGGTCCACACGCGGCTGGTGGCCCATGGGTTGGACATGCCTGATCCACGCAGTGCCTGGACCACATGCTCTGTCATGAGAACATGTAAGAATCGCCATAGGGCTTTTCTTGGATATGAAGAGATGTTCTTCATTCACAGAAGAGTTCTTTCTTAACAGTTCACCGGCAGGGGTCTCCTCAGCTCTTTCCCTGCATTAATTTTACCTGAATTTTCACCTTTGTTCTTTGATTTATTCATAATCTGAGATTCCTTCAGGATGGGTCAAGAGTAATTCAATGGAAAATAGGAATAATTATTGGCTGGGTAAACAGAATAGCTTAAGTAAATACTACTGTCTTTTTATTCCACTGGACCTTGTCTGAGTGACACTGAACTTGGTAAATCATTTATACCAAGAACTTCTGCACTGCACCAAGCTCTCCTTTGAAACTTTGAGTTCAGGGCCGGGGATTTAGCTCAGCTGTTTGGTGGCCTGCCTTGAGGACCCGAGTTCAATCCCCGGTATCAAACAAAACAAAAACAAAACTTCGAGTTCATGCACCTGGAAACAGAAACGGCATGTTAATTGTAGAGGCTGATCTTCCAATCAGAGTAATGCCCCGTGGAATACACGTAGACCTAATGGCGGAAGAAGGAGTGTTTACTGGTGGATGCGCTCACACACAGCTCAGCCCATCCTTGCAGTAGCATCTGTGGGTCACAGACGTGAATTCTGAGATGAGATACTGGCCTGATGTGAACCTGAGCTTGAATACTGAGTACTGGAGCAGAGGGCCATGAAATCTCAGAAAACAAATACAACAGATCAGAGCAGTGGCCAGCACAGGGTAGATGCTGACAAGGCTTTAGTGAGTAAAGAACCGAACCTCAGGGTACACGGACCTCAGGGAGGCATCTCCGTACATTTTGTTCAAGAGCATGCAGGGCTTATTAGCCATGCACCTCTCCTGGCTGACTGTAGCAGCTGCTGTTTCTATTGTATCTGGGTATCTGGTTCCCGTTCTCAGTCTCTCTCTGTCTTTCTGTCTGTGTCTGTGTCTCTCCTCTGAAATATGTCTGTAAATTTGCTTTGGCAGTCCAACTTTAGACTTCCCAAATCATTCACCGGTTTTTCTGGTCCTTCATACTGAACAGTTATATTTTCACTTGTTGAATTTCCTGTGTATAATTTTTCAGGACACTTCTTTTTGAACCACTGTTGTATTTGACTATTCTTTATTTGTATCACTTATTTTGACTGTTATATTGTTTTAGGAAATTGGGTTTATCCAATTCATCATCATTATTGTTTTTTGGTTTTTGGGTGTTTTTTTGGTACTGGGGATTGAACTCAGGACCTCGCTCTTGCCAGGCAGGCACTATGCCAATGAGCTACATCTTTGGCCCATGATCATTACTGCTTTTAAAAATACAAGTTGGTTGGGATATTTCATTGGCCACTGAGAATAAAGTAAATTTTTATTAAAATAAAAAATGGCTTGGCTTATGTATGCTTGAAAATTTTGACAAAGTAGGAAAACTATTTTTTTTCAATATATGCAAAATTTGATACAAACTGTCTGTTTCCCAACCAATTTTCTTGTGCTTTTGCTTGATGTTGAACTGCACCTACAGATTAATTTGAGGAAGTTTCAAACCTTGAGTGCATACTATGTCTTCCCATCTGTGAATGTGATGTTCCACTCCAGCCATTCAAGATTTCTTTTCTAGTATCTAATGCTTTACCTTTATATTTCCAGCACATAACTTATCTAGTTTAATCCTAAGACTTTTCAAAGTGTTTATATGCAATGTATTCTTTTACTTTACATACTTGTGTTATATTTGGGCAAGTTGCTATCTTTTTACTCTGTGATATTCTGATACTTTTTTTAATATAACCCATAAGAATCCTCTACACTCATAGAGGGATAGTTTTTTCCTGGCATTTTATTGGCAGATTCAGAAAAATACTGAATGATTGTGCTGCCTGACACCTTCATCTTTTATTTGCTGAAGAAATCAGATGGCTTCTAATGCTCACTCTCCTGTTAAACATGAGCATTCCTAGAATATATCTTTCTTAATGTTGTGTTATTAAAACATATTGCTTGCCTCAGTTTAAGTCCCTGATTCAAAAGTTGTATTAGGTTATAGAAAGATAATGTCTGACAGAGTATTTAATAGACTCCAGGTACAGCACAAGACATTGAATATCTGTCTCCTAAGAAAGCCAAGATTTTATACAAAAAGAAACAAAATGCCCAAATCAAGCAAAGACATACAGTTTTGAATAGCACAATTATAAAGCTTCATGTGCTAGACATTTTTAATGATCAAATAGAGAATCTACATTCCATGAAAAGAAACCTATTGAGGTAAAGGACATCTTGAAATAATTTTGATATGGAAATAGTGGCTCAACTTTTCATTCATTTCTTCACATGATATATTTACTAACTGACCACTAGCAATATGTTGCTCTTGACAAGATATGGACTGAAAGCAAGATATACAAGATCCATTTCTTCATGGCTCTCGTATTTATTTTTCTTTTCTCTTTCTCTTTTTCTGGGGTATTGGAGCTTGAGCCCAGGATCTTCACACTGAGCTACATCTTTATTCCCTTTTTATTTACAGACAGGTTTTCAGTAGCCACTATGTTGGCCAGGCTGGTCTCAAATTATGATCCTCTTACCTCAGCCTCCCAGAGTGCTGGGATTACAGGTGTGCACCACCATGCATAGCCAGCTGTGATATTTCTCCTGGAAGAAATTAATTTTCTCCAGTAGAAATAGGATAATGAGGTAATTTTAGTTAAAACTACCACGGGTGATATGCTAGCTAATGAGGAGGAGAAAACTCTAATGGTGGGAATTTTAGGTGTGACAGTAGAATAGGGTTTTCAGAAATAACAGTGAAGCTATATTTCATATGATTTCAAGAAATTCATGTACGGGGTGTGGTGGCACATGCCTGTAATCCCAGTGTTATGGACGAGTAAATTGGAACAATAGAGATGTACCACACTCTGTGCCAGATTTGAGCTCTTTATTTTAGCTGGCAGCTGAGGGGTGGCTAGTGCCCAGAAGTTTCCTCAGCAATGGGAAGCAGTTTGATTCCTCCTTTTAAATAATGCTTTCAACTGTGGAGGGCTCAAGGGAGAGCAAGCAGAATCTTACAGAAGCAGAACCATGCCAGTTTAGTGGGGGGCACAAGGAAGTTTCACACATACTAGGTGAGCTACAAAACATCCATAAACTGCAGTGAGTTTACTGCCAAGCAGGATGTAGGGGTTTGGGGTACTTTGTTCAAGTGCAAGCACTTTGTCCAATACAAACTGGCATTGAGGCACAAGACGGAGTTGGGCTGGCTATCACACTAGCACTCAAGAAGATGAGGCAGGAGGATCATGTGAGTTCCAGGCCAGCATAGGCTACCTACTGAGTTCAAGAGCAGCCTGAACAACAAAATGCATCAAACAAACAAACAAACAAAAAACCCCAAGCAAAAGAAATTAATGTGTTTCTTCTGTTCTTCTACAGGTTCTCAAGTATAAACAAAAGCACCACAAGCACCACACCCTAGCCCCTGAGGAAATGATTTCAGTGGATATGGTGACGGCAATAGCCATCGTCACTCAAATTGGAATCGGGATGGTGGGGAATTCTTCCTTCCTTTTCCCTTACATTTATTCCCTTTCCAGGAAACATGGATTGAGACCAATAGCTCATATAATCAGCCATCTTGCACTGGCCAATACATTGTGGATTCTTTGTGGAGAAATCCCTCAGACAATGGCGGCCTTTGGGCTACAGTATTTCCTGGATGATGTTGGATGTAAACTTGTGTTCTATTTTCACAGAGTGGCCTGGGGAAATTCTCTCAGTACCACCTGTCTTCTAGGTGGCATCCAGGCCTTAAGTGTCAACCTAACAAACATGAGATGGTCAGAACTCAAATCCAAATCCATAAAACATATTAATTCTACTTGTATCCTGAGTTGGGTGTTTCATTTGCTGGTAAATATCGTTGTTCCTATGAGAGTGACTGGCCAAAAAAGCAGCAGAAATAATACTGTGAATTCAAATCTGAAATATTGTTCTCGTCTTTTCTTTGATACAACTACAGAATCAGTATGTTTATTTATTTTCTCCTCTATTGATATTATCTGTTTGGGATTCATGACATGGGCTGGTGGAACCATGATACTTTTCCTTCACAGACACAAACAGCAAGTCCAATATATTCGTAGCACTAGACAGTCTCCTCAAACATCCCCAGAGAGCAGGGCCACAAAATCTATCCTGCTGCTTGTGAGCACTTTTGTCTTATTTTATTCTCTCTCTTCCATTTTTGAAGCTTACATTTTTCTTTTCGACAACCCACAGTCATGGCTTGTGAACACCAGTGTAATTCTAACATCTTGCTTTCCAACTTTCAGCCCCTTTTTGCTCTTCAAAAGCAACATCTCTATCTTCCACTTCTGTTCTTCCTGCTGAGGAAGTCAGAGAACCTCCCCAGCTTCCAGCAGCGTCTCCAATATCCCCTCACCCGTTCATCTCATGCTGTGAAATATCTTCTCTGAACAACTCATGTTCTACACACAGTGCTGAGTGGAGGAAGGACCTGCTGCAGTAGAGTCTGTAAGGAAACCACCCATGATTGGAATAACGACACAAACAATGTTCTTGCAACAATGTGCTTGCAGTTGCGCAGGTTGTCACAACCTCAGACGCTCAGGGCAGTATGTTTAAAGACCTTTGTTAAGCACAATGTTTAGAAGGTAGCTGGGTCCTGACTCAGCTCCTGCATTTGGGCTCAACAGATCAAAACAAAATGGAATCACGCTAAAGTTCCACATCACCAGGCGAAAAGCAAACTGTTTATCTGACCCTCCATGAAATCAGAGTGAGAGATAGGAGTCCAATTTCCAAACAGGACCATTTTAGTCAGTATAAGAAATCCCTTCTGCTCTAATCTTTACAAGGAAAGTAACTTTGAAACAATCAGTCCTGCTTGGTTCTGTTTCTGCTCTCCCCTTCCATTTTTTGATTTTTTTTTTTTTTGAGACAGGGTTTAGTTATATAGTTCACATTGGCCTTGAACTCACTATGTAGCCCATGCAGGCCTTGAATATGCAGTGATCCTCCTGCTGTGGCCTCCTGAGTGCTGGGATGATAGGTGTGTACCACACTTGACTTCCTTTTCTTTTTTTTCCCCTCTTTTTTTTTTTTTTTTTTTTTTTTTTTTTTTTGTAGCTGGGAATTGAATGCAGCCTTTTGTTTGCCAGGCAGGCAAAACCTCCAACCCTTTCCTTTTCTGAGTCTGATGTGTCTGCTCAGTTCATCAGAACACTCATTTTATTTTCCAAATCTAGAATCACAAGTAGAGACCAATCAAGATCTTTAAATTACACTTGTACTTTTATTTTGACACTCTGTATCTGCAGTTTGGATTGCTCCCTGAGTATTTTGGAGAAGTTAACCAGCAGTAGTGAGTGAGTGCTTGAGACCTATGGGAACACAGCTTCAACAAGATCTATAGGAAGGAACAGGGTGAGGAAGGAGATTAGAGCAAGTGGGCGGAACCTATTAATAATGGAGGTTCAGGAAATGCAGAGCAAAACAGTTCCCAAAGCCCTGCACCTGGGACCATTCAGAGAACGGCATCTTCAGTTCTTCTTGTGAGCACTCAAGAGGGGTTTTGACAGATCAGTCTAGATCTGATGTCATCCCGAGGAGCGAAGGGTATAAAAGACAGCACCATTGGGCTCTTGGCCACAGTACCGTCTCTTTCACGTGATCTGCTTTCACACTACAGAGTTCACTTCTTTCCCTACTTTTTTATTTTTTTTGGGACCAGGGATCAAATTTGGGACCTTGCATTTGTGAGGCAGGTGGCGGCACCACTGAGCTAAATCCCCGGCCCTCTTTTTGTACTTTTAATTGGCCTGCACTCACCCTGCAGAACCTGTTTCTCTTTCCACCTTTAATAAATGTAAAACTTTGCTACCCTCCTTGTTTTGCCCAGTTCTTTGTTCAGGACAAGAAGAACCTAGAAAGAATCTTTAGAAGGAGTCCCCAGGACCCCAGAACCTGTTAGCATGGGAACATGTCAAGAATTGAAAGAAATCTTGTGTTCCTGGTCTGCCACCAGTAAGAGAACTGGTCAGGACCCGAGGTTATGGGATTCAGGAACAGTTATAGCTTGGCCAGGTGTTACAGATGAGGTTTGTGCCAGAAATCTCAACAGTAATTTCAGGCAATTTAAGGATTTGACTAAGCGAGGGGACATTTAAATAATTATCCAATTTGCCTAACAAACAATAGACATAGGGTCAGGCAAGCACGAGGACAAATAAATTAGGAGACATTTGAAATAAATGGGTGGGATGAGTGTGATAAGGACGATGAAATCAGCAGGGAGAGGACGATATAAACTTCATAAATACTTTCTTTAGCAGGAAATATGTACTGAACTCAGCAATTATTTCATAAAGAGTTATTTGAGAAATTCTGGAGGGGACAGTGACTCACAAGTCTCTCTCCTTTGAGCATCTGAGGGGTTATGGTGGGATTTCTTGATATTGAGAAATCAAGAAAGCTGTGGTTTTGGTGTACAGATGTTGCATACTGTTTCTAGCACATGGAGTTTGTTGTGTCTCTTAGGCATGTTCTCACACAGGCCATAGATCACACATGTATGTGTGGATTGTGCTCATATGGAGGGCTTGCTTTGAAGAGATAGTTTTGACTGTCAACAACACAGATTGGTGACAGGACCTCAGAGGGGGATGAACTAAGAGAATGGAAACTGGAGAGTGAAGAGAATAGGTTTGAGACCTAGTAACTAAGCTTTAATTAGCAAAGATAGGAGGTAGGCTCACACTTTTAGTTCATTCATCCATTCTATAAAGCATATTCCAGCCAGGCATGGTGGTGTATACCTGTAATTCTAGCACCCAGGAGGCTGAGGCAGGAGGATCACCACAAGTTTGAGGCCAGCCTGGGCTACATAGTGAGTTCGAAGCCAGACTGAATTATATGATGAGACCCTGTCTCAAAACAAAAGAATATTCAGTGATTTACTACTATATACCCCCACTATTATAGGTGATATTGAATATAGTAATATGTAAAATAGGAACATATAACTGTCCTTAGGAAGTTTACGTTGGGAATGGCAGAAAATGCTAAAGAGGTAGTAATGATACAGGAGGCTGGATGTGGCAAAGCTGGTTGGTGAAATAAGGGGGACCTGTCAATTGCAAGATCTCAGGATGGCACCAAATAATTCCCAGGACCCCTTCTGTAGAACTTTTCGCGTGGGTTCCCAGGAGGTATAAGGACACAGACCCAGGAGGAGCCCACTATCCATCAGAGTGTACTTTTATTTTTGCTTTTATCCTTCCCTCTCTTTGTTCTGCCTGTTTGCTCTACACAGCTAGTTTCCCCCTTCTCCCCCCGCTCCCCACTTTTCAAATAGACTTTTGGCAGCTTTTTTTTTTTTTTTTTTTTGGCTCATTTAGTCCAGTTCTTTATTTGAGTCAAGAAGGACCTCTAATACTTTTAATTGGTGAGCCATTTCTAAAGGAACTACCCGACAACAGTAATATTATGTTGTTTCAGATGGTGGTAAATGTTCTATTGAAAGGTAAATGACTAGCATGGTGAGAAGGTGGTTCCTGGCTGTTTTAATTTCTTTCCAAGTTTCTGGTTTTCTTATTTCTGTGTTACTTTTTTTTTTTTTTTTAATGGTGTATCTTTGCAGAAATGACTGCAAAGTTGTGGTTTAACAAGGTAATTTGCAAAGTTGTAGTCAAGACTGGTTATTATTGGGAAGTTCTCCTCATATAAGTGGTCGTAACTGTAAGGTGTGGTCTGGCAGTCTCTTGTGCTACTTCCCATCATCAAGCAAATCCCTTTACAAAGCTCCTGGCTTCATCTTTCCCTGGTATGACATAAGTGACTGATTTCATTTTGGTACAATAACTTCTTGAAGAAGTACATTAGACTCTGAAATCTCTCATGTAAATTATTCTTCGCCTGCAAATGTAAGACCACTCAATTCTTTAGTTCACTCTACATATTTATTCTATGTATATAGTACAGAGAATCCTGCTGGGATCTAAAATAAGGAGGTCAAAGCAGCTACATCTTGACACGATTTTACCCTGTGTATTCTTTAAAAGTCACGCTCATTAACTTCTCTCTAGAGACAAAAATAAATCACCTAGACGGCCCAAGAACGAGGCCTACTTCCCCGGTTAGAACTCCCAGAAACCACTGGGCTCGGCCCAAATTGCATGCTGGGATCAACCTGAGCCGTGGGACTCCACGCTTCTGTGGCTCTTCACCGGGAGGACTCTATTTCCCAATGGCCACCGCACCAGGGTTAACAAATGTGCTTCCGGTTTTGGGGGGTGTGTGTGGAGGACTGATGACGTAGTGGTGCGAGGCCTTCAGGTAAGGGGAAAAAGTCGTCGGAGGGAGGGGCCTCTGGCCGCTGACTGCGAGAGTCGGAGTTCCGGGTGAGTAAGTCAGCGTGCGGATAGCAGAGGAAGGTGATTAATCACGAGAGGAGAGAATGGCGTGTGGCGTGTGCGCGTGCGTGAGCGCCTGGTACGCGGGACCAGACGCCTGTGGACTGAGGGCGCTTTGTAATGGCTGTGTCTCCGTGCCGGGCTTTCGGCTTCGGTTACTTCTTTCGTTTCCTCTCACAGCCACTCGGGCTGCAGCAGAGAAACGGCCCCAGTGTGGGTAACATTCTGAGTTTAGAGTGAAGCATTCCACGCAAAGGTACAGACCGGACACGGGACGGGAATTTGAGAGCTGGAGGTGCCTTTGAGAGCCCCCCAGGAGGGCAGCTGCATGTGAGCTCCAAGCGTTCCTACAGCTCTGTCTCCAGCAGCCATTGTGGGTGCCAGACCGATCCTTTTTACGTCGGCCCCCTTTTGTGCGAAGGGAGAGAACGTGTGGCCCTGGAAGATGCTTTAGACTTAGTCTGCTCTACGCTCCACGGAAAGCCTAGAAGGGCCCTCATGCTTGCCTCCTTCTCCCGTCGTACTATTATCCAAAAGAAGGACCTGTAATAAAATGAGAGCGCTAATACTGCACATCTAAAAATCAAGGACGAGTTTATACTTTAAGAAGTGCTATTTTGGATTTTGGATGTGGAGGTCTCAGTAAATTCTCAGTAAAGAAGAGCCATATGCAAACGGGTACCCCACAATTGTGAACTCTTCTTTGTCCTTCGTCTTTCCACTTCATATTCACATAATCATTTGACAGACCTTTCACATCATCCTGTGCATCCTTTTCATAAGATGCTGTGGAAATAAACCTTTAGTCAGGCTCGGGCTTGGTAAGGAGGAGACCAGTATTTAGATAGACTCACATGCCAAGTATTTTTCGGTCTTTATGGACCTCTTTTTTCCAAGATGAGGAAGTATCGAGATGATTAGATGATATCTGTTTATCTGTGAGGCTTTCAGGAGTGGGAAAGTGACAGCCCAAGATTTGGAATCAAGAGGTAGGATTTTCCAGGGCGTCTATTATGTGAAATTTGTAATACTGGCCTGATTTTGCTGAGGTTTGGTAGCTCCAGTTGTGTTTTGGGCTTCTTTTTTGTTTCTTGTATTTTGAGCTTGCAGTGTAGTTCAGCCTGGTTTTGAACTCACTATGTGGCCTAGGCTGGCCTTGAACTCGTGGTGATCTTCCTGTCTTAGCCTCCTGAGTGCTGGGCTTACAAGCAAATGCCACTATCCCAGGCATCTTCAGCTTTTGTGGGGGTGGAGGGCTGTGAGAGGCAGGGCAATGTTGTGGTTAAGTCAGGGATGTGGATCCGGACTATCTTGGTTGGAATCTTGGTTCTGTCCCCTTTGGCTTTGTAATGAACGTTAGAATGAATTAATATTATAAAGCCCCTTAGAGTGGGACTTTACTGGGAGTCTTGTGCTTAATAAGTTTGTGTGATCAATTTAGGTTACTCTCAACTTTCTATAGGAGCATTAGGGATATGCAATTCATTGTGTTTGCTGTTTGTATATTAAGAATGGGGTATTCAGTTAACCTGGGACAAAAATTCATTTTTTTATTTTTTATTTTTTAAAAATTTGCAGATAAAATTATATGTATTTATTTTATACAGCATGAAGTATATATAAATTGTGGAATTATAGCCATTATTAGCTCCTGGATTACCTGACATACTTTTTTTTTAATGGATTACACAAATGGTAAGATAATTTTATTTTGATAAAAATGCCTTTTTACGTCAGCCCCTCTTCCTACCACTAAAGAGCATCTTCAGAGATGAAAAGTAATGCATTTATTTACATGTACTTTTCTTAGGCAACTTTAACTTCTTCCACCTGTGTAGCACCACTCAGTAATTGTCACCTTGCGTCTTTGAACACCTTTTTCAGACGAATCTGAATTAGTGCCTCTGTTTCTGCTTCTCTGTCCTCTCCAGTGAAAAGGTCCAGTGTATCTTCTACTTTTATGTTCTGTTTTCCTCGCATAATTTTTCCCCATTCAGTCTGAAGTCACCTGTGTAGAATGTATCTTCCACGTGGTTCCTGCCTAACTAGGCCTAACTTCAGGATAACACCGAACCGAAAAGACTGAACCACCTTCTCCAGGTCCTTGTAGTTTTTGACCATGGTGGGGTCATCTTCAAGCTCTTCTTCCTGGTCCCTTTTTTCACTGTAGTCACTCTCCTCGTCAGAGTCTTCTTCACCTACTTTTTGCTGAGTTTTTTAGAGGACTTTTTAGAGCTTATTTACCTTTGAGTCTCATAAAAAAATTGAAAAAATATATTCTGGAGATACTAAAATCCCTAAGAATCTCAGAGATAAAATATTATGGAAAAGTGATTTATAATCTGATGCTGTTAACTTGGCACTTGAAAAATATAAATGTCGATTACAAGAAGCACAGAGTCTCTGTGAAGATGTCCCTTGAAACACAACCCAGTCCAATCCAGGCTTTTAAAAAATAGTGGTAAATGCCAGGTGTATTGGCACATGCCTGTAATTCCAGCACTTGGGAGGCTGAGGCAGGAGGATTGCTGAGTTCTAGGTCAGTCTCAACTACATAGCGAGACCCTGTCTCAAAACAAAAAAACAAAAAACAAAAATACTGGTAAAAAATCTGACACTGGTCATAGCCATGGTACATCCAACCTAAGACTGTAAGCAGAGCAGTGCTTGGACACAGAGGCATTGCTGTCCGTGTGTGACACTGGTGATCACTCTGTGCTGCTTCGGTGCCGTGAACATCAGGGCAGCCCAAGATCTCCCCGCTGCGGTGCCCACTGCTAGACCTCTGGGCTCTGCCTCCTCACATAGTTATTTTTAATATCCACTCCCTTAACATTTTCCAAGAACACATTATCGTGCCATTAACTGTAGTCACCATACTGTACAATAGATTTCTAAAACTTATTCTTCCAAGCCAGGCATGGTGATGCACGCCTGTAATCCCCACATTCAGGAGGCTGAGGCAGGAGGATCGCTGCGATTTTGAGACCAGCCTGGGCTACACAGTGAGTTCCAGGGCAGTCTCAACTACATAGTGAGATCCTGTCTCAAAAAAACAAAAAAAAAAACAAAAGGCATTATTCTTCCTGCCTCATTGAAACTTTATATCCTTTGGCCAATATCTCCTTGGTTCCTTTCTCTACCACTCCAGTGCCTGGTTGTCACCATTCTACTCTCAGCTTCAATGAGATTGATGTTTTTAGATTGTACATATGAATAAGGTCACGTGGTATTTTTCTTGCTATGCTTGGCTTATTTCACTTAACATAATGCCTGCTAGATTCATCCATGTTTTAGCAAATGATAGGATTTCCTTATTTTATGAATGAATAGTATTTGTGTATATGTTCCATATTTTCTTTATCCATTCGTTCATTGGTGAGATTCCATATCTTGGTGATAATTCTGAAATAAATATGAGAATACAGGTACATTTTTGAGATTCTGTCTTCCACCATTTCTACCAGTAATGTGCAAACATTACCTTTTCTCACATCCTCATCTACACTCGGCTACCTTTTATCTTTCTGATAATAGCCATTCTAATGGGTATGAGGCGATCTGTTATTGTAGTTTGTATCTCCCTGATTTTGATGATTGTTGATGTTAAGCATTTCTTATACCTGTTGGCCGTATGTATATCTTCTTTTGGAAGATGTCTATTCAAGCCTTTGCCTATTTTTAAATTGGAGTTTCCTGTTACTGAGTTGAATTCTTTATAAAGTTCCCATGTTAATGTTTTGGATATCAATCTTTTGTCAGATGTATGGTTTGCAAATATTTTATCTCATTTTGTAGATTGTATCTTCACTGTGTTGTTTCCTTTGCTGCGCAGAAGATTTTTAGTTTGATATAATCTCATGTCTTTTGCTTTTTTGTTTGTACTTTTGGAGTTATATGTAAAAAATTATTGCACAATCCAATATTGTGAAACCTTCCTCCTATTTTTTTTCCAGTAGTTTTAGTTTCAGGTCTTATATTTTAATTTTTATTCCATTTTGAGTTGATTTTTGTGTCTAGTAAGAGATGGGGGTGGGTCTAATTTCCCTCTACCTAGAGATACTCAGTTTTCTTACCACTATTTATTGAAAAGGCTATCCTTTTTGAATTGTACATTCTTGGCACTTTTGTAGAAAAATCAGTTGGCTGAGCTGGGGATGTAGTTCAATGGTAGAGCACTTGGTTAGCAAGTACGAGGACCTATACTCAATCCCCAGTACCACACACACATCAGTGGGTTTTAGATGTGTAGATTTATTTCTGGGCCTTTAAGTAGGATAGGGTAATGATTTCAGCTTTAGTTTTTGTTGTTTTTATTGATGATTGCTCTGGCTATTTGGGCTCTTTTTGCAACTCTGTATGAATTTTAGGATTTTAAAAATCTATTCTATGAAGAACGTAGGACAAATTCTTAATCTAGGTTCCTGTGACTATTTATGGCCTTAGGGACTACAAATTTCTATATTTGAAGTGTTATTGAAACTGATAATTGTGAATTTTGTGGAGAGAGAAAGTCTATGATTTCATGAGATTATCACAGGTATTCATTGACCCGAGAGTTAAGATCCGTTGATTTAGAACAGGCATTCTCACACAGGTGTGTGTGCTATTTATAACTAGTGGGCAGAGATCAGGAATGTTGCTGAACATTCCACAGTGCAGAAACAGGAGGATCTATCAGAGCAAGATCTGGGGCCCAGACCTGGACCTGGTTGTGCATCCCAAGAGTGGAGGATTGGCTGGAATCCCTCCGATTGGGGTAATTTGTAGCAACTTCCAGGAAAAATTGCCTGTGTTTTTCATTCATGCCCAGTACTGCAGGTTCCCTGGGAGTTATGAGAGTTTCTGGGTTTGGTCAGACTCCTGTTTATCACCCGTTTGTGTGTGACTATGGAGGCGGAAGCTGTGGGAGAAGGATGTGTTAGTGAAGGTAGGAGGGAAATAAAAGTGGAGAATGAAATGGTTACATTGATTTTAAATTGCTTGGAGTGCACTGAGACATAAGTCCTTCTCTTTTGTTCCCCAGGGGCTGAAGACTAAAGAAGATTAACCAAATAGTTTTTGTAATTTTGAAAACATGATCCACGTAAGTTGACCTTTTTCTTTTCCCCTAGAAATCTGATAACTTGGCTGGGTGTGGTGGCGCATGCCTGTAATCCCAGTACTCGGGAGGCTGAGGCAGGAGGATCGCTGTGAGACCAGCCTGAGCTACATAGTGAGTTCCAGGTCAGTCTCAACTACATAGTGAGACCCTGTCTCAAAAAACCAAAAAACAAAAACGAAAAGAAAAGAAAAGAAAGAAATTTGATAACTTTCAGGTAGAGGACCTCGAAGCTTGCTACCTGAGGATGCAGACTTCAGTGGCCCGGTTTGTGTCGTTAACAGTGGATGTTGGAAGTTAGTGCTTTTCCTCTTTGTGTCTTTTGTTTGACCACATTATTCAGCACCTACCCCGTGCTTGGTTCTCAGTCAGGGAAACACTAGAGCACTGGAAAAGTCACTCACACAGGAGAACAGGGCTTTAGGGGCCTTGATAAATTAAGAGATGATTGTCTTGTTTGGCCACACTTGGGAAAGCCTTGAAATTTCTCCCCACATGTGAACTTTCCCATTGTAAGACTTAAGGGGATTTGTACCCGCACATGATATATCTTGATTCTTCTTTTTTCCCCATTCCCTTCCCCTCCCTTCAACCCCTCTTCCCCTACTTACTTACAAAAGCCTTGTTTCTATTTTTTCCTTCTACTCTCTTCTTTTTCCTTTTCTCTTCCTTCTCCCCTCTCCCCTGCCTAGTTCCCCTAACCCTTTGAACATTTTCTTCCTCTCTCCCAATATCTGTCATATATTTTGTTCCTTATCTACTCTTTTGGGTTTTTACCACAGAGAAACCATGCAATATTTGAACACATGTATCCAGTTTATTTCACTTTAGAGTATGGTGTCCAGGTGCATCCATTTACCTAGAAATGTCTCAGATTTATCCTTAATGGCGGAGTAGTACTCCATTGTATAAAAAAACCACATCTTCTTTATCCATTCATCGGTTGATGGCCATTTGGGCTGTTTCTAAGATTTAGGTATTACAAACTGTGCTGCTGTAAACATGACATGTCATGTTTCTTATTGATGGTATAACTTAGAGAAAAACATGATGTAGAAGTGCGCATTTACTAAGCATTTGTGAAGTAGGTGTACAGCAGGCACTATGGTTATTTAGTAGAGAAATTCACACTGTTCCACCTGTTCCCAGACAAGCTACGTGAATTATTCTGTAGTATCAGGATTCTTCAAGAACATGCAGATGTCCTGTAACTTTCCATTTTGTTTCTTTCCTACAGTTTAGTCCTTTACCTCCTCTCCTATCTTGAAATAGTCTCCTTCAGTTTCACTATAACAGGTGTGTTTGTGGTTTCAGGGGTCGGTGACGTTCAGGGATGTGGCCATTGACTTCTGCCAGGAGGAGTGGGAGTGCCTGGACCCTGCTCAGAGGGTTTTGTACAGAGATGTGATGTTGGAAAACTACCGCAACCTCATTGCAGCAGGTAAGGTCACCTGCTCCATTCAATGTATTTTGTATTCTCTAGAATATCAGCTTCACTCCTTATGAATTTTAGACTCTTTAAGCGGTAGCTGAATCCCTTCTTCTTCAAAGGAATAGTTTGAGATTTGTTGGGTTGAAAATGGGCACCTCCGTGAGGCATTTGGTTCTTGCCCACCTGCAGTAACCTTCCTCCTTTTTGCTGGTCCTCTTGGTAATTTGCTCCTGTTTTTTCATGATTGAGGGGCTCATTTTGAATCTTGGACATTCATTGCCAGATTATCATCTAAGAAACCAGGTTTTATATTATGTTTGATCTCATGATTACTATGGATATTCTCTTTTATCCTGTTCCTTCTGAAATACCAATGAGGAGAATATGTCTTTAATGTTTCTATCATAAGAGCCTCTATTATTCACGGTGGACACATTCTATTTTCTTCAACAAACATTCCCTTTACCTTCTTTGTGGTTGAACGTTTCAGGCCACGAAGCATATCTTTTTCATTGACTAAATATTCTGAGAATAACCTAAAGGCAAAAGTAATAGCAATAATAAACATAATTTTTAATGTTGTGGTACTATATATAAGACAGTATTCAGAGTATTTTAAATATATTTATTTAATCTTAGTATCTACCCTATAATAGGTATAATTATCTTCTTCATTTTATATATGGGAAAACTGAAGGACCGAGTTTTAAGTGACTTGCCCAAGGTTATCCTGTTGTGGGGGCCAGGACAGGACTTGAACTAGGCACTCTCAGCTACTAAGTAATATTTCCTCTTAAGGAACAAGGCACTGTATGAGTATAAATGAAACCAAGTCCTTTTTCTTTTGTACTAAGAATTGAACCTAGGGCCTTCACATGAAGCTGCCTCTCCAGCTCTTTTTATTTTGAGACAAGGTCTTCCTAAGTGACTGTTGTGGTTTGGATCTGGAAGTCTCTGAAAGGCCTTATGTGCTGATAGGCAGGGCTTGTGGCAGGTGATTGGATTATGGGGCAATATAGCTGACTAGCTGTTAGGAGGTGGGGTCTGTTTGGAAGAAGTGTGTCCCTGGGGCCATGGCCTGGAAGTGTTTATCTCCCTTTCTGGCTCCTCTCACTCTCTACTTCGTGGCCACCAGGACGTGAACAGTTTTCCTCTGCCTCGGCCCTTCTACTGGCCAACTATAGACTGAAACCTTTAAGAATTATGAGCCCAAATAAACCTGTCCTTTAAGTTGTGGGTATTGGGTATTGTGTTGGTGACAAAAAGTAACTAAGATGGTTGCTAAATTACCCAGGCTGGGATTAAATTTATAATCCTCTGCCTCCTAAAGTGCTGGGATTATAGGTGTGTGGCGCTCCACCCAGGTCTGTCATTTTTCTCATCTAAACTGATCTTTTACACTGTCCTCTCACCCTTCTCTGAAGTCTTTTGATTTCTATTATAAATTTAACCAGGCTCAGAGTTTTAAAAAAATAAACATATTTAAGAGAAGAGCTATATTGTGTGTCTTTTCTTTTCAGCAGGAAGTACCATTTCTAAGCCGGATGTGATTGCCTTACTAGAGCAAGAGCAGGAGCCCTGGATAGATGTGAGGAAGCAGACAAGCAGGCGGGACCCAGGTGAGTGGGAGTAAGGCAGGCGGAACCCAGCATTGCCTTGGACAGTTCATGTGGCGTGGCAAACTGCCTTCAGAAAGACTCACGACCTGTTGAAAAAGATGTGCCTGAAACCTGGAAGAAAGTAAAGTTTATGGTGGGAGTTATCAAAGGAACTTTATTTTTTAATGAATCCCTTCATTTTTGTTCTCTGTTTTCCTTACACTTTTAGTAGGGTACATTCATTCATTCCCAGTGTTAACTTTAAACATACATTTTAGATCCAGCTGCTTGCCATTTCTGCCTTTTGCATTTATATTGCCATATATATTACCATTGTCTAAACATACCTGTGCGTATAGTCGTCAAATATTTATCCCATGCCCAGTATGAGCAAGGCATTGTGTTTGGCACTGTCAGTACAGTGATATTGAGCAGACTGATAAGAGTCTCTGCTCTCATGGACTTCACTAGCAATTGGCAGGACACAGATTAAACAAATAAGCAAAACAAATAGGAAAGTAGTATCTGAAACTTGTATATGGAGATAGGTTCCTAGGCGTGGTGAAGTAAAGGTGACAGGGAACGTGAAGCAGGAAGCCTCTCTCTACTGAGAAAGGAAGTGGAAGCTCTGGCTTTGAATGCAGGTGAGAGCATTCCAGGCAGCATTCTGGGCAGAACTGAGCGGGGACACAAAGGCCCAGAGAGGAAGTGGTTGGTAGCAGTCAGAAGGCGAAGGAACAATGAAAGGAGTTCTGAAGGTTAGGCCAGGACTACCTCATACAAGGTTTGCAATGTTATTGTGAGGGATATGGAATGTTTTCCAAACCTTACTGCACTCACGTTCTGGTGAATGTTTAACATGTTTTTCACATTTTAGTTTTTGGACAAGTTTGACGGAAGTATAGAAAACTACATAAAACAAGCAACTATATCATTAATTGTTTTAAAATACACATTTTTAACCACCAGGTAATGACGTAGCCATGTACTCTAAGAAACCTCTCCCGCAACTCTTTGTAGTCACCTTTTTCTCGGCGCTAGAAAAATTTTCTTTAGAGTTTTACATGAGCATCTCCAAGTTATCTGACTCTGTCTACTGTTCTGTTTCTTTTCTTTTCTTTTTTTTTTTTTTTTTTTTTTTGTTACCGGGGATCGAACTTGGGTCCTTGCACTTGCGAGGCAGGCCACCAAACCGCTGAGCTAAGTCCCCGGCCCTACTGCTCTGAAATGACTTTTAATTATCTTAATTATAGGTTGCTTTTTAATTTAAAAAAATTCTTAGTAATCAAAAAGTGCTAAGGAAGTGCAAGATCCTGAGTTCGATCCCTGGAACAAAAACAAAACAAAACAAAAGTGCTAAGGGTGTAGTACCACTACGACTACGTGACTTTTTTTTTTTCCTGTACCAGGGATCAAACTTTAGGACCCTTACACCAGGCACGATGCCACTGAGCTAAATTCCCGGCCCAGTGTGACTCTTGACTGACTCTATGTGCTCTCTCTTTTCTCCCCACTTTTCAGTTTTGCTCTCTCTATACTTCAGAATACACAGCCATTCTGTACTATGATCTCTTTTTAAAAATCCTCTCTCAATGTTAATTGTGTGTGACGGAGTCAGTGCGAATGAGAGCAAGCATCTGTAGTCAGTTTGATTGTTTTAACTTTTTGTTTTATTGGTTCGAAAGTAAAGCCTTATGGGAACACTATTCCTTGAGGGTGTGTTGATGACATTTTATAGTCTTTTTTGTTTTGTTTTGTTTTTGTTTTTTGAGACAGCGTCTCACTATGTAGTTGAGACTGACCTGGAACTCACTATGTAGCCCAGGCTGGTCTCCTTGCAGTAATCTTCCTGCCTCAGCCTCCCGAGTGCTGGGATTACAGGTGTGTGTCACCACGCCCAGCTTGTAGTCTTTTTTTAATGTAACACTTGAGATCATTCACATACCATAAAATCCATCCATTTACAGAGTACAGTTGGGTGGTTTGTGTACATTTATATCCCTAAAGGAAATACCATGCCCATTAGCAGTCACTGCCTACTTTCTCCCAATATATTTTCTAATTTCCTTGATTATTTCTTTGACTCAGGCATACTTCCTTCATTTCCCCAGGTTTTTATGTTGAAAATTTATCTAAAGAGCAGAGAATAATTATTAAATTTCATTTACAACCATTTTCTAGATTTGCTAATATTTTGCCATATTTGCTATATTTATGTATATATCTAAATGTTTTATACCTTTTATGCTGAAAAATGTGATGATCAGTCACTGATGTTGTGACACCTAGATATCTAAATATATTGGCATGCATTTCCTCATTACTGCTAACGCTCATGGCCACTAACATCATTCAAGTGAGACAACCAGACGTGGGCTGACTGAGGCAAACTCCCATTTTAGGAGTATCATCTGAAGTAAAATTTTATTTAAATTCATTTATATTCATTCATACTCTCTCTCTCTGAGATACTGGGAATTGAAACTAGGGCTTGGCACATGTTGGGCCCTGGGCTATATCCTTAGCTCTTTTTTATATATTTAAAAAATTTGAGGCAGGGTCTTGCTGAGTTTCTCAGGCTAACTTCACACTTTCAATCCTTCTGCCTCAGCTCCCCAGGTAACTGGGATTACAGGTGTATGTCACCATGCCTGGTAGTTTTCACAGCTGTTTTTTTTTGGGAGGGGGTTGTAAGTGTCTTAAGTTCATAAATTAAGTGGTTAGCTTTCTTTAGTCCTTCTTAATCTAAAAGACTGCTTTGCCTTTTTCTTCTTTTTTACTTTTTTTTTTTTTTTTTTTTTTTTTTTTTTTTTTTTGGTACCAGACATTGAACTTGGGCCCTTGTGCTTGGCTAGGCAGGCAGCGGAACTACTGAGCTAAATTCCCAGCCCCTCTTCTTTTTTAAAAGAGTCCAAGTGTAGGCAAGTTCTCTTAAAGCCTGGTAGCCTGGCAAACATTCTGAATTTGTGTTATTTACCTTTCTTTCCCTTTCATGCTTTGACTCAGAAAACTCCACAAGGGATATAATTTCCAGGAATATTATGTGAAGAAATTCCAATATTCTGTGTTTGTAGAGATTATTATAATTTTGTTCAGTCATGTATTGTTTTCCATTTCCAAACAATTATGTAATCTATGATACTGACTTGTAGCATGAATTTAATATGATCTGAGAATATAAGTTGAGCTTCTCTCATTTGAAAATCTAAATATGAAATTCTCCAAAGTCAAAAACGTTTGAGTCATAGCTATGACACCACAAGCAGAAAATTCCACACCTGACCTTATGTGACAGATCACAATAAAAACACTGATACAATGAAAGTACTGCATAAAATCACCTGCCAGCTTTGTAAGGTGTATATAAAATACAAATGGATTTTGTATTTAAACTGGGGTTCCATCTCTAAGGTATTTCATTCCCACTTAGTTTGTGGATCTGTATTTCCTAATGTTTATTTACTTCATACTTGGAAGCCATTTTATTATGGACATGTTATCTTTAATATTCTTTTATTATCATGACAATGCTTTATAAGAAATTAGCAGAGACGTGTACAAATTAAAAATTTAACTGTCACAGTCACTCCCCTTAGCAATCCTTTGTCACTTTTTTCCCGTACCCTTACACCCATACAAATGGACACGTATGTACAAGGTAGAGTTTTTGGTTGTTTGTTTTTGTTGAGCAAATGAGATTATAAACCAAGCACAGTGGTGCATGCCTGTAATCCCAGCTACTTGGGGAGCTTAGGCAAGAGGACTGCAAGGACAAGGCCAGCCTGGGAAATTTAGGGAGAGCCTGTCTCAAAACAAAAAGGGATGGAGGTGGAGTTCAGTGGTTGAGCACTTGCCCAGCTTGCACAAGGCTCTTGTTTTAATCTCTGCCAAAACAAAAAACAACAAAACAATAAAACCCCATCAAAAAATGTGCATTGAGATGCTGTTTTATAACCTACCTTTTTCAGTCAGTGATGATCAGCTACTTTTTATGGGGCAGTTGTTTTACATTGGTGCATTAGTAGCATTACATCTACATACACTGGGACCCCATCACACCATCATATAGTTTTTTGCTTTCAACTCACACATGTTCTACACAACTCAAGAAAAAAAGATGGTCAATTATATTTACCTCAGATATTTACCATTTCTTTTGCTCTTCCTTTATTTCTGGCATTTCGATATTTTAGGAGTAGGTCTCTTGATAGCATTCTTTGTTCTCAGTCATCTAAAATTGTTTTCATCTTCATTTCACATCAGTATTTTTAAAGGATATGTAAATTGGAGTTCAAAAATTTTTTAGCACTTTAAAATATATCACTTTCCTTCTCTGCCCTCATAGTCTCACAGTCTCAGCTGTTGAATCATTGTTTCCCTATATAGGTAATTGTTTTCTTTTGGTACTTTTAAGTATATATTTTATTTGCCTTTAGTTTTTAGAACTTTATGAAGGTGAGGAATGAGACTCTGGAATAGAAATAAAGGATAGATATAGTATGTGCTTAGACAGGGTCCGGGGTACAACTGTTCTGTAAACACTGAAACTTAAAAGGAAAGTAGGATTCCTGGGCCATGAAACAGTGTGAGCAAAGGAAAAAGATTCAGAAACAGTTGTATCATGTTCTAGGTCTTAAAGGGACGTAGTGTGTTACAAAGAGCAGTAGCTTGATGTCTTGTTATCCTGGTAATGTTTTTTGGATTTTAAGAGTAAAGATAACTATTCAAAAAATTTTTAGTATAATTATTAAACTTTAATCTGCATCAAAACATCTTTTAGTGATGTCAGGCCTGTAGCTTCTCAGGATTTACTCCCAAAAATTCTGATTCTGTATGCCTGAGTTGCCTGAAATTCAATATTTGTAACAAGCTTACCAATCGATTTTAATTCACATCTCAGTTTCACAAAGTTAATCTGTTCTGCTGTTAAGAACAACACCATTTTACATATACTTTCTTAATTATTGGTGTTCTTGTTCTTTTACAAATCCTTGAAGCATTTAAAACTAGTTAGGTCATTTATGTAATGGATTTTGTTTGTGTGTGTGTTACAGGAAAATAAAATATGTTTGTTTGTTTTTTCCCTTTCAGATTTGGATTCAGATTATGGAGCTGAGAAAATATCTCCAGAAAATTATATTTATGAAATAAATTTACCCAAACAGGATATAAAGCAAAAAAGTATTATTCTTGGCCGTAAGTCTTCCAGTTTTAGAAGTGACTCAAAACACAATTTTGACAGACTAAATGGCTATGAAGAAGGATATATCAATCAGAAGATACTCAGTTATGAGACAAAAAAGCCTATTTATACCAAGAATACTCTTACTCACAGTACAGACAAACCATACAAGTGTAAGAAATGTGGGAAATCCTTTAGTCATCACTCAAATCTTATTCAACATCAGAGTATTCATACTGGCGAGAAACCCTATGAATGTGAGGAATGCAGGAAGGCCTTTAGACTTCGAATACAACTTACTCAGCATCAGAAATTTCATACTGGTGAGAAATCGTTTGAATGTAAGGAATGTGGGAAGACCTTCAGATGTGGCTCAAATCTTGCTCAACATCAGAATATTCATGATGGTATGAAACTATATGAATGTAAGAAATGTGGGAAAGGCTTTAATCATAGTTCAAACCTCAGTCAGCATCAGAAAACTCATACTGGTGAGAAACCCTTTGTATGTAAGGAATGTGGAAAGGCATTTAGATTTCCTTACCGACTAGTTGAACATCACAGAAGTCACACTGGTGAGAAACCCTTTGAATGTAAGGAATGTGGGAAGGCTTTTAGGCTTCACCTACAACTTTTTCGACACCAGAAAACTCATACCGGTGAGAAATCCTTTGTTTGTGAGGAATGTGGGAAGGAATTTAAATATCATTACCTACTCATTGAACATCACAGAATTCATACTGGTGAAAAGCCCTATAAATGTAGGGAGTGCGGGAAAGGCTTTAATCGTGGTTCAAACCTCAGTCAGCATCAGAAAATTCATTCCAGTGAGAAGCCCTTTATATGTAAGGAGTGTGGGGAGGGCTTTAAATATCATCACCAATATGTTGAACATCACAGAGCTCATACTGGTGAGAAGACTTATAAATGTGAGGAATGTGGGAAGGTCTTTATTCTTCTGACACAGCTTGTTCAACATCAGAACATTCATACTGGTAAGAAGCCATTTGAATGTAAGGAATGTGGGAAGACCTTCAGTTGTGGCTCAAATCTTGCTCAACATCAGAATATTCATGCTGGTATGAAACCATATGAGTGCAAGGAATGTGGGAAAAGCTTTAATCGTAGTTCAAACCTCAGTCAGCATCAGAAGACTCATACTGGTGAGAAACCCTTTGTATGTAAGGAATGTGGGAGAGCATTTAGATATCATTACCGTCTCATTGAACATCATAGAAGTCATACCGGTGAGAAACCTCTTGAATGTAAGGAATGTGGGAAGGCCTTTAGAGTTCACCTACAGCTTTCTCGGCATCAGAAAACTCATACTGGTGAGAAATCCTTTGTATGTAAGGAATGTGGGAAGGAATTTAAATATCATTACCGACTCATTGAACATCACAGAAGTCACACTGGTGAGAAACCCTTTGTATGTAAGGAATGTGGGAAGGCTTTTAGACTTCACCTACAACTTTCTCGACATCAGAAAACTCATACTGATGAGAAATCCTTTGTTTGTGAGGAATGTGGGAAGGCATTTAGATACCATTACCGACTTACTGAACATCACAGAAGTCACACTGGTGAGAAACCCTATGAGTGTAAAGAATGTGGGAAGACTTTTAGACTTCACCTACAACTTTCTCGACATCAGAAGACACATACTGGTGAGAAGTCCTTTGTATGTAAGGAATGTGGGAAGGCCTTTAGATATCATCACCGACTTATTGAACATCACAGAATTCATACTGGTGAGAAACCCTATATATGTAGGGAGTGTGGGAAAGGTTTTAATCGTGCTTCAAACCTCAGTCAGCATCAGAAAATTCATTCTGGTGAGAAGCCCTTTATATGTAAGGAATGCGGGCAGGGCTTTAAATATCATCACCAATGTGTTGAACATCACAGAATTCATACAGGTGAGAAACCCTATGAATGTAAGGAATGTGGGAAGGCTTTTAGACTTCACTTACAACTTTCTCGACATCGGAAAATTCATACTGGTCAGAATCCCTTTGAGTATAAGGAATGCGAGACTCCTTCAGACATCAGTACTAATTTATTGAACATCAGAGAATTTATACTAGTATGAATCCCTATTAATGTGAAGGGAAATATTTTGACAGTATTCAAATCATACTCAACATCAGAATATCTATGTTCGAAAGAAGCTCTTTGTAAGGCGTTTGAGAAGACTTTTAGTCTTTCCACAAAGACTAAATTGTCATAGTAACACCCATACAGGTGAGAAACAATGTGAAGGATACGGGAAACCCTTTAATTGTGTGTTAAACCCTGTTCAACATCAAAGTGTTCATGCTAATGTGAAACCATAGGAGTGGGAATGTGGGAAAGGGTTTAATTGTGGTTCAAACCTCAGCATCAGAAAATTGATACTGGTGAAAAACTTTTTGTGAGAAATGTGGGGAAGCTTTTCAGAGTCACTGAACATCACAATGCATACTGATGAGAAGCCCTGTATATAAGAGATGTGAGAAAGCCTTTACACAAGTGTTTATTGCCTATCAGAATCCTTACAGGTCTGGAATCCTATGAATCAAGAATGTGGGAAAGTCTTTAAATGGTTTGCTTTATTGACATAAGAAAATTCATAACATCAGTGTGTGGAGAAGCCTTTGTATGAAAAATTTCCTCATCAGAGAATTCATATTGACAAAGAATTCTGTGTATAAAAGACCATGGGAAAAACTTTCATCATGGCTTGGGATATGCTCAGTATCAGAGTATTCATATGGGTGAGAAGCCCCTTTGGTAAAAGAACAACGATAGATACTTAAGAGAGTCCTTGAATGTGAGGAATATAGCCAATATAGTCGTCCTGTTTATAATTTATTCCCCATGAAATAAATTGTAATAGCTATGGTAATTCCATAATCTTAGGAAAACCTTCAAGTACTACTCAATCCAGCATACTCAAACTACAAAAAAATTATTGGAAGAAATGTTTAAAAAGCTTTACCTAGGCACATTAGCTTTTATCATTACCATTCTACTACATATTTGACATTTAAACCAGATTATTTTCTTTTTGAACTATGTGTAAAATGGTAGTAGTAGTGCAATTGGAATAAATATGGTATATTTGAATTTCTTTATTTCTATAAATGCATATTGTACAAACAGGATTTCATTATAACATTCATACATGCTTGTACCATGTTTTTGATTGTCTACCTCCATGTTACACTTTTTTTATTGTCCTCTCCCTTGTTCTTCCTTTCCCTAATAGTCCCTCTGGAGAGAAAACATCCTTTGAGTTTGACTTATTTTGCCTAACATAATGATTTCTAGTTCCATCCATTTTTCTGCAAATGACACTTTATGGTTGAAGTGTGTGTGTGTGTGTGTGTGTGTGTGTATGTGTGTGTTTCTTTTTATCCATTTAATCCATTGATGGGCATTTGGGCTGATGCTAGACCTTGACTATAGGGAAAATGCTATGATAAATATGGATAGGAAGCATCTCTTTTGGATGTTGACTTTAATTACTTTGGGTATATACTCGAGTTAAATAGCTGCATCATAAAATAGTTCTATTTTTACTTCTAAGGAACCTTTTTTTGCTGTGCAAAGTGTTTTTAATATATACAGTTTTGTTTTATTTTGGTTTTTGAGACAGGGTCTCATTATAGTTCAGGCTGGCCTTGAACTCAGTATGTAGTTTAGGTTGGCTTCAAACTCGTAGCCCTCCTACTGCCTCAGCCTCCTGAGTGCTGGGATTATAGGTGTGCACCACTATGCCTGGCTGTATACAGTTTTCTGTAGTGGCTGTACTAGTTGACATTCCCACCAGTGGTGTATAAGAGCCCCACTCCCTATCAGTTCTCCCTACTCTGTATATTTTAGTTTTTTTGTTTTGCTTTGTTTTGTTTTTTTGTACTGGGGACTGAACTTGGATCCTTGTGTTTGCAAGGCAGGTGGCACCACTGAGCTAAATCCCCAGCCTGTTACTGTGTATATTTTGTTTTGTAGGTGATAGCCATTCTGACTAAGGGAGGTGGAATCTCAGTGTAGTTTTGATTTTCCTCTCCATGATGGCTAAAGATGTTGAGCATTTTAGAATGTGTATTAGTCATTTGTACTGTTGAGAAATGTCGAGCTTATTTGTTGATTAGATTGCTTGTTCTTTGGGTGTTCAGTCTTTTTGAGTTCTTTATATATTCTGGATATTCTATCAGAACAATTGCCAAAGATTTTTTTCCCATTCTGCAGACTGTCCCATTACTCTGTTGATTGTTTCCTTTGCTTTGTAGAAGATGGCTAATGTGATCCTTATGCCAATTCCTTTTAAATTTATTTTTAAAATTAGCAATATTTGTCATACATAATGATCACATTCATTGTGGAATTTGTACCTGTACACAATATATCTTAATTTTTCTATTTCTATTCCCTTCAACCTTTCTCCTCACCTATAAAAGCTTTGATTCAGTTTTTCCTTCCGTTCTCCTTTTCCCTTTTCCCTCTCCCCTCCTTTATTTTTTTGGTACCAGGGATCAAACTCAGAATTTTGCACTTGCCAGTTAAGTGCAGTGCTACTCAGCTAAATCCCTGGCCTCCCCTCCCCACTTGTTTTTCTTATTTCCTAATATCTGTCTCTCATTATGCTTCTTATTTATCCTTTGGGGTTTCCCACCAGATAAGCAATATGATGTTTAAACTTGGGTGTCTGACTTAGTTCACTTAAGATCTCCATACTAATTTCCACCAGCAATGGAGAAGCCTGCCTTTGTCCCCACAGCCTCACCAGCATTTGTTATTGTTTGATTTCTTGATGACAGCCATTCTTTCTGTGGTGAGATAGAATCTGTCTTCATTTGCATTTCTCAACTGACCGGTGATGTTGAACATTTTTCTTTTCTTTTCTTTTTTTTTTTTTTTTTTTTTTTTTTTTTTTTTTTTTTTTTTATATATATATTTGACTAACTACATCTAAGAAATGTCTATTCCTTTCCAATGCCCATAACTGGGATGGGTCTGGTCCTTTAAGGAGTAGCTGGTAAATACTTTTCCCCATTCTGTGGGTTATCTCTTTATGCTGTTGGTGGTTTCTTTTTCTGTGCAAAATGTTTTTAATATGATTCATTTTATTGATTCTTTGTAATATTTACTGTGTAAATGGGGTTTCGTTCATAAAGTCTTCAGCTACACCTATATCTTCAAGAGTTTTACCTATTCTATCTTCCAGCAAATTAAGTGTTTCTGTTTTAAATATTTAGATCTTTGATCCATTTTGATTTATGTTTAGCGCATGATGAGAGATAATGGGTCTAGTTTCAAGTTTTGGTGTGTGGAAAGTCAGTTTTCCCAGCACCATTTGTTAAAGAGGCTATCTTTCTTCAGTGGACATGTTTGGCGCCTTTGTCAAAGATAAGGTAGCTAAGTGTGTTTTGGAGTTGTTTCTATGTCTTTTATTCTGTTCCATTGCATCTTGGGTCTTTTTCTTTTTGCCAGTACCTTATGGTTTTTATCACTGTGGCTTTGTAGTTTTAACTTCAAATCAGGGATTACAATGCCCCTTGCCTTGCCCTTGTTGCTCAGAATTGCTTTTGCTATTCTAGGTGTCTTTTTATTCCATGTGAATTTTAGGATTGTTTTTTTCAGTCCTTTGATGTATGCTATTGGTATTTTGATTGGGAATGCATTGTCTGCATAATAGTTTTGGAAATATGGCGACTTTCACTATATCAGTTCTGTCTATCCAAGAACAGGCAATATCTTTGCATTTTCTGATATTCTCTTTTATCTCCTTTCCCAGAGTACTGTAGTTTTAAATCAAATTTCCCCATAAGGTCAACATTGAACCTAGCCATTGAATTTGATTGAGTTACCATCCAGTTCGATTTGTGACCAGGATTGTAGAAAGAATTAAGTTTGTGAACCAAAGTACCACTGTATAGGTCTTTCACTTCCTTTGTTAGATTGATTCCTATTTTTTTTGTTTTTTTTAAAATCTACTTCACTTATCTGTGTCTCAAATTGTTTTCCTATGCTTGGAAAGTTTTCTGCTATTAACTTCTGTAAACAGGGTTTTACGCCCTTTGTGTTATTTTCTGATTCTTTATTCATTGTAATTAATCTTGTATTAGTCTTCTTTGTATCACCTGGCATCTGTTGGCTTGATTTTTTGTGGTCCTTTGCTATTTTTAAGAGGTTTTCGTTTGATGATCAACAACCACAACCTTCTCTTCTAGATCTGATATTCTATCTTCCCATTGGTTGGCTTTGCTGCATATACTTTGAGTAGAATTTTTAATCTCTTAGATTTCTGTTTGAGTTGGTTTTATGGAATCCAGTTCTTTCCTATGTTGGACTTTCATGGTTTGCATGTCTTTACTTTTTATTGGAATCATGAAATATAATCAAAATTTTATATTTATAAGGTACAGGGCTACATAAATCATTCAAAATCTGTTTGTACACAGCTACAAACTTTTTGCCCCTCTTTTAAAAAATCTGTATTTATACTCTAATCATTTCCTTCATTATGGTCATCATCTCTGTAATTATTTTGTTTTGTTTTTGTCAAGAGACTTACTGATCTGTTTTGTTATTTCCACTGCTACCACTTCTGAAAATTCGGCTGGGTGGCTTTTGATTTTTTCCATCTCATGGTCCCCTTGATTTAAATGCCTTGGATGACAAGTCAGGGTTTATGTACTGCATCTTATTTCCATGTTTTCTTATTTTTTTCTTCCTTTTTAAAATTTGTTTTCTGCATTCAGGCTTATGAATTGCTTATGGTAGATAGCTTTATTACTATTATTGTGACCTCTTTTTAGGTAATGAGTATTTATTAGGTTTTGGTAGCTGGATTATAGTGGATTTGTACAAGAATTTTGGACAAGTTCCCTTTTCTGTTTCTGGTATATTATAAAGAACATTGGTATCCTCTAAAAGTGTGGTAATATTCAGCAGTTAATTCATCCGGTCTGGGCTTTTCTTTGTTGGGAGACTTTATTAGTGCTTTAAACTCATTTGTTATTGAATTTACTGACATACAGTTTTTCAAGATAATCCATGAGCCTGTTTATCTTTGTTTCATTGATCCTTTGTATTGCTCTACTCTCTACTTCATTTATTTCTGCTTTGATCTTTATTATTTCTTCTACTGATTTGAGGTTTAGTTTGTTCTTGTTTTTCTAATGCCTTAAAATATGTCATTAGGTCATTGAGGTTTGTTTTTTGAATGTAGGCTATAAACTTCCTTCTTGTCTGTGTCTTATGGGTTCTGGTACATTATGTTTCCATTTTTGTTTGACTTTAGGAATTTTTTAATCCAACCTGATTTCCTCAATGACCTCACTAGTCATTTGAAAGTGTATTGTTCAGTCTTTATGTATTTATATAATTTCTGCATTTTCTGTAGCAGTTAATTGCTAGTTTCATTTCATATAATCTGATAGCATGCAAGGAATTATGTAAATTATTTTTGTATTAGGACTTGGTCTGTGGCCTACAGCATGACCAATTTTGGAGAAAATCTCTTGTCCTGATTAAAAGAACGTGTGTTCTGTAGCTGTTGGATGCAAAATTGTGCAAATGTCTGTTAAGTGTGATTAATACTGTAATTTAACTGATAACTATTTGCTGAGTTTTAGGGGTAAGTCTGGATGACCTGTTTACAAATGGGATACTTAAGTTGCCCACTATTATTATATTGAGGTCTCTCATTTTATGTTCTGTAGTGTTTGTTTTATAAAATTTGGTGCTCCAATATTTGGTGTATACATATTTAACAATTGTTATATCTTCTTGATGGATTGTTTCCTTTACCTGTAGTGACCTCTTTTATCCCTTCTGATCGAATTTGGCTTGAAATTATTTTGTTGACAATATATCTAGTCTTGCTTGCTTTCATATTCCATTTGATTGGAATATCATTCTCCATCCTTTTACTTTCAGTCTGTGTATGTCTTTGTGGTGAGGTGAGTTTCTTGAAGACAACAAAGAGTTGTGATTTGTTTTTTAACCCAGTCAGTCTGTATCTATT